TTTTTTTTGAATTGGAGTGTTGCTCTATCACCCAGGCTGGAGTGCAGTGGCGTGATCTTGGCTCACTGCAAGCTCCGCCTCCCGGGTTGACGTTATTCTCCTGCCTCAGCCTCCCAAGTAGCTGGGACAACAGGCGCCCGACACCACACCCGACTAATTTTTTGTATTTTTTAGTAGAGACAGGGTTTCACTGTGTTAGCCAGGATGGTCTCGATCCGCCCGCCTCGGCCTCCCAGAGTGCTGAGATTGCATGTGTGAACCGCTGTGCCCGGCCTAATTTTGTATTTTTAGTAGAGATGGGGTTTCTCTATGTTGGTCAGGCTGGTCTCCAACTCCTGACCTCAGGTGATCCTCCCACAACTTTTTGTGTTATTAGTAGAGATGGGGTTTCACCATGTTGGCCAGGCTGACTTCAGGTGATCTGCCCACCTCGCCCTCCCAAAGTGCTGGGATGACAGGCGTGAGCCACTGTGCCCAGCCATGCTGAAGCCTTTTGTAATGAAGCCTTTTGTAATGGCCTCCTAAAGTGCTGGGATGACAGGCGTGAGCCACCGCGCCTGGCCTAAGAACATGTTCTTTGGCTAGTTTTTTGTATTTTTTAGTAGAGACGGGGTTTCACCGTGTTAGCCAGGATGGTCTCGATCTCCTGACCTCGTGATCCGCCCGTCTCGGCCTCCCAGAGTGCTGGGATTACAGGCTGGAGCCACCGCGCCCGGCCAGGTTTGCTTGTTTTTAATCATGCTTCGGGATCAGTCTGGTGCTACATCTGGGAACCACTGGCTCAGAGGCATCCTGAAGACCCCTGTCTGCCGCATCGGGGTCCCAGGGCTGGCTGGCCGTGGAGCCAGGGGATACTCCTGGTCTGCAGCACCCTAGGGTCTGACCCGATCTCCTGTGTGTCACACTTCCTTGTTAAGGGGACGCCTCTCCTGGGGGCCGAGGTTTTGGATGTCAGAGGAGCTCTTCCCTGGAGTTTCCTCCCTTTGCTCCAATGCTGGAGTCACTTCCCCTGGCCTCCTGGGAAGTCTTTTCTTCTCTCCAGAGGCCATTTAAGTACTCGGCTGTGCCCGGAAGATTCTGTGGTCCAACAGTGAGACAGTGGTGACTTGTACCCCGCTGGACACAGGAATCTCTTGGGACTCCTCAGGGAGACACAGGTTCCTCGACACCCCTGGACTGGAATGGGAGTCTCCTCTGTTTGCTTGCTCGTTTCTGTTTTTGTTTTTTCTTTTTTTGAGCCAAAGTCTGACTCTGTGTTCATACTGGAGTGCAGTAGTATGATCATGGCTCACTGCAGGGCTCAAGGGATCCTCCTGCCTCAGCCTCCTTAGTTAGCTGGGACTACAGGCATGCACCACCAAACCCGGCTAGTTGGGTTTTTTATTTTTTATAGGGACACAGTCTCGCTATGTTGCCCATGCTGGTCTTGAACTCCTGGTCTCAAGTGATCCTCTTGCCTCAGCCTCCCAAAGCAGTGGAATTACAGGCATAAGCCACTGTGCCTGGCCTGTTTGATTTTTATTTTTATTTGTTTATAGTTTATATATATACATGTGCGTGTATATATATATTTTTTGTTTTGTTTTGTTTTTGTTTTTTTGAGATAGAGTTTTGCTCTTGTTGCCCAGGCTGGAAAGCAATGGTGCGATCTCGGCTTACTGCAACCTCTGGCTCCCAAGTTCAAGTGATTCTCCTGCCTCAGCCTTCCGAGTAGCTGAGATTACAGGCACCTACCACCATGTCTGGCTAATTTTTTTTGTATTTTTTACTAGAGATGGGGTTTTACCTTGTCGGCCAGGCTGGTCTCGAACTCCTGACCTCAGATGATCCACCTGCTTTGGCCTCCCAATGTGCTGCGATTATAGGCCTGAACCACCGCACCCGGCCTTATATATATTTTTTGAGACAGCATCTCGCTGTGTTGCCCAGGCTGGAGTGCAGTGACGCGATGTC